CATATGTCCCCAAGCAGATGTGAACAAGACCAAATGTAAAGTGTGGAGGCCAGACAGCCTCGACACTCAAGCAGATATGAACAAGACCAAATGTAAGTGGCCAGACATATGGCCACACCTCCAGAAATGCAAGTGTGAACAACACTATATGTAAAAGTGTGTGGCCCATATGACCCTAACAATATATTCAAGCAGATGAACAAGACCAAATGTGAAGTGTGTGGCCAGACATATGGCCACACACACTCTGGCATTTCCAAGCAGATGTAAACAACACTAATGTAAAGTGTTGGCCAGACATATGGCCACACACTCAGGCTGAAAAAATGTTCCCAAACGTCATGAACACCAATATGGCAAGAAGTGTGTGGCCAGACATATGACCACACACTCAGGCAGATGTGAACAAGACCAAATGTAAAAGTGTGGCCAGACATATGACCACACACTCTGTAGAAATGTATCCTCAGGCAGATGTGAACAAGACTAAATGTAAAGTGTGTGGCCAGACATATGACCCACACCTCAGGCAGATGTGAACAAGAACAAGCTGAGTGTGTGGCCAGACATATGGCCACACACTCTGGCAGATATCCCTCAGGCAGATGTGAACAAGACCAAATGTAAAGTGTGTGGCCAGACATGACCACACACTCTGGCAGTATGTCCCTCAGGCAGATGTGAAAAAGACCAAATGTAAAGTGTGGCCAGGCCACATACTCAAAACCTCGTCCTTGACTGTTCACGGGTTTACTTCCAGCTGCTGTGTATATAAGCTCTTAGTCTCTCCATTGAGATTCATTCTACCCCACGTTCTACAGACAGGCAACACCTCTAACAAGCCCCTGCACAGATACCTCCTCAAACGCGCTACTCACTGGAACGTGTCTTGACCAAGCTTCTACACGGCATCTCTCGCACCAGACTGTCCTGCATATAATATATTTATATGAGAAAACCACCACCTAGAGTTTCCATCCATCCCATCCTGGTGCTAGACAACATAACCTCACGTAACACTGCAATAGAACCTGAATATTAACCCCCAAGTGCAGTACAGAACAATGCGGTATAATGTGGATCAGAACAGAACAGTACAGTATAATATGGATCAGAACAGAACAGACGTATAATATGGATCAGTACGAAAGTACGGTATAATGTGGATCAGAACAGAACAGTACGGTATAATATGGATCAGAACAGAACAGTGGGTATAATGACAAAACAACAAAGATCAGTACAGAACAATGCCGGTATAATGTGGATCAGAACAGAACAGTACGTATAATATGGATCCAGAACAGAACAGTCAGTATAATGTGGATCAGAACAAGAACAGTACAGTATAATATGGATCAGAACAGAACAATAATGGATCAGAACAGTATAATATAATATGGATCAGAACAGTATAGTATAATATGGATCAGAACAGAACAATACAGTATATTATGGAACAGTACAGTAGTCCCTCATCAATGCTACAATTGACATACCAGTAATACAATACAGGTGTACTGTATAATATAGATCAGTACAGTACAGGGTTAAAGCTTCACATATAAACAATGTTGAATCTTGGTCAAACAAACACTAAACAGTCTATATAAAACTCCAGTTTACTGTATACTGTAATAAACTAGTGCCAAATTTATATAAAATACTCGTCTCTTCTGAGTTATTGGCAGTCACCTTCAACATGTTATTTAATAATATTCTATCTAGACTCATTTCCAGCAATAATTACGGTCATACGACAGTAAATTATCATAAATATTACCTTGAAAAATAGCTTCAGGCGTGGAAGTCCAGACCAATCTAACATTTTGATCTCAACTCTCAAAATTATAAACCAACCATGGAATCTTTTTGCTCATTAAATTATAAATATAAAACCTATCATTTTTAATAGCTTCTTTTACTCCATAATGAATTTTACAGGGCAATTACAGCAATATTAATTTAAAGACTTCATCCACATACAGTATCTGAAGACCAGCCATTACTGTACGTTCTACAATATTGGTGTTATAATAAAATATTCAGCAATAGTTTAAATACTTATATCTCATTCTGTATAAGATATTAATGTTTGTGACACATCATGGCCAAACATAAAATTAATATACTGGTGATCCCCGATTCGACAAGTCCGACTTATCACCCACTTACTTATGAGCAGGATCCCAATACATTCACTGCAAAATTTTAATTACAATCCCATTTTTCATCGTATATATAACATTAACATCGCTATTTACATTATTTGTTATATGTAGGATATTATTGTTATTTTGTATGGGCTTTAACCTAACCTAAACTATAGATTGGGAACTTTATCTCTGTTGTAAATTAGGGAATGGTATATTAACGCATAAAACTCTATATTCAAGTCCACAAAATTAATGCCATTCTTGTAGCAATCATTCTTTAAATACCATTGCTAGATAAACACAATATTGATTACTATTAGGAAAAGTTGTTATATAAGAAGAGTAAATATCTAAATACTGTATATTAATTTAAACAAAGTCTTCTGTAACATGATCAATCAACAAATTTTAGCAAGGTTTGACACTGGCATTGGCTTTACTATAGAAAATGACTGCCCAAGGATGAATTATATAACCAGAAGGTTACCTAACTAAAATTTTAAGTGCTAACTGAACGTATATTAAGCATGATATTACTTCTTTGAACTAAAGAGGAATTATTTAAAGTTCATCAGCTTTATAACACGAGGGTACTATATATGAACCTAACCATTATTTACCGAACAATGGTGCCATATATCTATAAGTGATTGAAGAATATATTTAAAACATGAATCAAAAACTACCAACCATTTTAGTCAGATAAAATATATCAAAAATATCTGCGTCAGAGTTGGGCAAAAAACTTATCAAATATTCGTACCAATTTTCAGCAAGTTGAAAGGTTTCTGCAGATAATGACAACGCATACGTATAACAAATGGTCTACCACTGCTATGCTACTTTACCAAGATGATTTACTACCCGTGTTAATGTCACGTGCTTGTGATAAAACTTACATCACGTGTAAATAAGGACAGGCGTGCACAGTTGACACAACATGATTCGCATTCCCGCTTAAATGAAGTTCATCAATGTTCATAAAGCTTATCCGAAGTGAAGATGAAATTTTTAAGCACAAGATGATAAGTTTAACCAGCTTACTGCATACTGTAATGTTTTATTAAAGGCTGATAAGAAACAAAATGAAGTATTACTGTAGATATTTAACCAACTTTTGATACTCTACACCAAGGTATAGTAGAAAGATTTACATCTTAAGAGCAGATAATTATAACTGTGTTTTAATATCTATCGTGGCATTTGTCCTTGTCTTTATTTCTCACGCATTCTTAGAGTTTCCCATTCCGTGGTTTTAAATTGATGTATATCACTGTATATTCAAGTTTGTGTGGCACATTTACCTTCTGTTAAAGTCATTCAAACATTTATTGAATTCTGTTTATTTTCATGCACAGTTTGCCAGGGTTGAGATTACCCTTCAGGGAGAAACATTTCCCACATTCCTCACATTCAAACTCCTTGCCTGTGTCCAAGAATGTGTGTGTGCCTTGAGTACTCTTTAGTGCAAATGTTCCCCACATTCCTCACATTCAAACTCCTTTATACCACTGTGCAGAATGTGTGTCTTGAAGTACTCTTCTGGGGCTGTTCCCACATTCCTCACATTCAAACTTCTTTGCCTGTGTCCAGAATGTGTCTCTTGAGATTACTCTTCCAGGAGAAATATTTCCCACATTCCTCACATTCAAACTACTTTATACCACCTGTGTCCGATATATATTTCATGAGTACTCTTCGGGCTTATTTCCCTTCCTCATTCAAACTTCTTTATACCTGTGTCCAGAATGTGTGTGTCTCTTGAGATTGTTCTGCTACTCTTCCAGGAGGAAATATTTCCCACATTCCTCACATTCAAACTCCTTTATACCACTGTGTCCAGAATGTGTGTTTGAGAATACTCTTCTGGGGAGAAACATTTCCCACATTCCTCCACATTCAAACTCCTTTATACTACTGTGTCAGGGAATGTGTCTCTTGAGATTACCTCTTCTTAGGCTTCCCCACATTCCTCACATTCAAACTTCTTTATACCCACTGTGTCCAAGGATGTGTGTCACTGAGATTACTCTTGTGGGGCTTCCCACATTCCTCACATTAAGAAACTCCTTGCCCTATAGGCCCACCACTGTGTCATGAATGTGTCATGATGCCTCTTCAGGTGGGGAAACATTTCCCACATTCCTTACATTCAAACTCCTTTATACCAATGTGTCCATGAATGTGTCTCTTGAGAGTACTCTTTTAGTGCAAAAATGTTCCCCATTCCTCATTCAGAAACTCCCTTTATACCTGTGTGCAAATGTGTGCCTTGAAATACTCTTCCAGGTGAAACATTTCCCCATTCCTCACATTCAAACTCCTTTATACGTGTAATGCATGAATGTGTCTCTTGAGAGTACTCTTTAGTTCAAAATGTTCTTCACACTCAAACTCCTTTATACCACGTGTCAAGAATGTGTGCCTTGAAAATGCCTTTACATTTCAAAATGTTTCCCCATTCCTCATTCAAACTTCTATACCACTGTGATAAAGTGTGTGTTCGTAGAATTACTCTGGAGGAAACATTTCCCACATTCCTCACATTCAAGCTCCTTTGCCTTACCACTGTGTAAGTGTGTTCCTTGAGGCTGCTACAGGAGAGAAACCATTTCCCATTCCTCATTCAAACTTCTTTATACCACCTTGTCCAGAATGTCTCTTGAAATTCCTCTTCAGGAGAAATATTTCCACACATTCCTCACATTCAAACTTCTTTTTATACCACTGTGTCCAAGAATGTTTTCTGTGCCCTTTGAGATTACTCTTCAGGAGAAACATTTTCACATTCCTCACATGAACTTTTTTTTATCTCTGCTTGACATTGTGAACTTCTTCTTGGTGCACTTGGTCTTGAGATGTGACATCACAGTATCTGAAACAAAATGTTTTGCCTTAGATATTATTCTGCTTATAAAAGTACAATTTATAATGAAAACTTCTGAAACAGCTAAACCAACTTTTTGTAAAATGAAAATATTTCTAAAAAGTAATTACAAAGGTTTTAGTACAGCTAATGAGGGTTTTATGACACATAAATCACCCAGTATCGGACCCCCTGGCCCTGTCGGGAGTTTGGGCATAATGCCCGATGGGTCGGTGAGCCAGTGGGCCAGTCCCGGTCTTAGATACATCTTAGTGAACAAGACGCTGGACAACATCTACATTTTGGTAGACTTATAAATGGCTAGCATGAATTACACCTGTTGATCTTTATAACAGTAGAATCTATGGGAAATAATGGTACTGTATTCATATTGCTGCATATAATTCCATCATCTCTGGTGTTCTAATACTCTATAGCCCCAGTACTGTACAGTGTCAGGTGGGGAGGTAGTGCGGTCTCTCTTACAGTGTCTAGTATGTTGGGTGGGCCAAAGGTGGTAATTTGTACTCAAGGAGTTAAGTCAAGTGATCCTGGCTCTTGGAATATTTACTTGAATCATATTACAAATGTTATCCTCAACACCATAATACACTGGACTAAATTCTCTTGCCTTTGGCTGGGGTTGACTAGGTGGTGGCCTCCTCAGCCTGGGGTAGTCTGTGGCGGGATTGCCATATCAGCCTGGGGTAGTCTGTGGCAGGATTATATCAGCCTGGGGTAGTCTGCTTGGCAGGTTACTCCTGTGAGCCTGCAGGAGTAGTCACCAGCCAGCAGGTTATATGAGCCTAGGTAGTCTGTGGCAGGTTATGAGCCTGGGGTGAACTAATGGCAGAGTTATGAGCCTGGGAGTGTTGGTCTGTGGCAGGTTATATGAGCCTGGGGTGATCTGTGGCAGGTTATATGTTCTGGTGCAGTCTGTGAGTTATCAGCCTGGGGTGGTAGTCTGTGACCAGGTTATATCAGCCTGGGGAGTGGTCATGGCAAGTTATATCTCAATATAGGGTAGTCTGGCGGGTTATATCAGCCTGGGAGTAGTCTGTGGCCAGGTTATATCAGCTGGGGTAGTCTGTGGCGGGGTTATATCCAGCCTGGGGTGGTCTGTGGCAGGTTATATCAGCCTGGGGTTAGTCTGTGGCAGGTTATATCAGCCTGGGTAGTCTGGCAATGGGTTATATCAGCCTGGGGTAGTCTCTTGTGTGGGTTATATCAGCCTGGGAGTGGTCTGTGTGGGTTATATCAGCCTGCTGCAGGTAGTCTGGCAGGTTATATCAGCTGTTTTGGGGTCTGTGGCAGGTTATGTATCAGCCTGGGAGTCCCAGTCTGTAATATTATATGAGCGCAAGGGTAGTCTGTGGCGGGTTATATGAACTGGGGTAGTCTGTGGCGGGTTATATGAGCCTGGGGTGTCTGTGGCAGGATTATATGAGCTAAGAGTCAGTCTGGCAGGTTACATATGTGAGCCTGGGGTGGTCTGTGGCAGGTTACGCCTGTAGGCATGGGGTGGTGGTCTGTGGCAGGTTATAACAGGCCTGGGGTGAGTCTGTGGCGGGTTATATGAGGCCTGGGGTAGTCTGTGGCAAGTTACTTGAGCCTGGGGTAGTCCTGGCAGGTTACTGCAGGCACAGGTAGTCTGTGTTGAGTTGCATATCAGCCTGGGGTAGTCTGTGGCAGTTATGTGAGCTACTGCAGTCTGTGTGAGGTTATATGAGCCTGGGGTGCGTCTGTGGCAGGTTATATCTCAGCCTGGGGTAGTCTGTGTGGCAGGATTATATATCAGCCTGGGGTAGTCTGTGGCAGGTTATATCCAGCACCTGGGGTATTGGTCTGTGGCAGGTTATATCAGCCTGGGGTAGTCTCTGTGGCAGGTTATATCAGCCTGGGAGTAGTCTGTGGCCAGATTATATGAGCCTGGGGTAGTCTGCAGTTATATGAGCCTGGGGTAGTCTGTGGCGGAAGGTTATATGAGCCTGCAAGCTGGGAGTAGTCTCTGTGGCAGAAGTTATATGAGCCTGGGGTAGTCGTTATATCAGCCTGGGGTAGTCTGTGGCAGGTTATATCAGCCTGGGGTAGTCTGTGGCAGGTTATATCAGCCTGGGGTAGTCTGTGGCAGGTTATATCAGCCTGGGGTAGTCTGTGGCAGGTTATATGAGCCTGGGGTAGTCTGTGGCAGGTTATATCAGCCTGGGGTAGTCTGTGGCAGGTTATATCAGCCTGGGGTAGTCTGTGGCAGGTTATATGAGCCTGAGGTAGTCTGTGGCAGGTTATATGAGCCTGGGGTAGTCTGTGGCAGGTTATATTAGTCCAGGTTATATGAGCCTGGGGTAGTCTGTGGCAGGTTATATCAGCCTGGGGTAGTCTGTGGCAGGTTATAGCAGCCTGGGGTAGTCTGTGGCAGGTTATAACAGCCTGGGGTAGTCTGTGGCAGGTTATATCAGCCTGGGGTAGTCTGTGGCAGGTTATATCAGCCTGGGGTAGTCTGTGGCAGGTTATAGCAGCCTGGGGTAGTCTGTGGCAGGTTATATGAGCCTGGGGTAGTCTGTGGCAGGTTATAGCAGCCTGGGGTAGTCTGTGGCAGGTTATATATAGTCTGTGGCAGGTTATATGAGCCTGGGGTAGTCTGTGGCAGGTTATATGAGCCTGGGGTAGTCTGTGGCAGGTTATATGAGCCTGGGGTAGTCTGTGGCAAGTTATATGAGCCTGGGGTAGTCTGTGGCAGGTTATATGAGCCTGGGGTAGTCTGTGGCAGGTTATATCAGCCTGGGGTAGTCTGTGGCAGGTTATATCAGCCTGGGGTAGTCTGTGGCAGGTTATATCAGCCTGGGGTAGTCTGTGGCAGGTTATATGAGCCTGGGGTAGTCTGTGGCAAGTCATTGCTTTCGTCACTTTCCACTGTAATACGTACGTCATTTCAGCAAAATATTACATTTCCATATTCTCAGAAATAAATAGTACTTTTGCTGAAACGTGATGTATTTCAATGTAAATTACGATAAAATACATGACGAAAACAAGAGACTTTACCTAACCTTCCGATGTTCAAGAGATGTTACTCGTTTTTTTAGTAGTTTTCGATTAAAATACTGTTATATTAGTGATATTCTATTCATACTGTGCTTGATATAATACATTCACAGAAATGTAATATTTTTGCAACTACAATGCTGATGTCAACACAAGTGTGGTTACAGCGAGACTGACTGAGTGAGGGAGAGCTATACGTGAGTGTGTGAGGTTGCGGGAGCGGGTGGTGTCCCGTGTTCGGTGCCGCGCGCGAGTTGAATGTACTTCAATTACTTCAATGTACAGAATATTCCTCCGGCGGGGCAATCCGCGTATTTGCGAATCCGTGAATGCTAAACCCGCGTATGTGAAGGGCCGACTGTATGTAGTAAAATAAACTGAAAATTGGGCATTAAGAAATATAGAACTAAACTATACTGTATACTGTACCAGTTCTGTATTCAGACAAGTACAGTAATGGTACTATACTGTGGTAATAAATACTAATACAACATAAAATTATGTTTCACAATACGGAGGAAATAGTTACTATGATGCACATTCAGTTAGACATAATAGAATATCCTCAGTAATTTTTGTGAAATATGGTTCAAATTTATTAAAAGCTGCTACAACAATTGTCTTTTTTTATGACTGTTAGTGAGCTTTAAGTGGTGTGGTGTGGTGTGGTGTGGTGTGGTGTGGTGTGGTGTGGTGTGGTGTGGTACAGTACAGTACAGTACAGTACTTGCTCTTTACACAAGTCTACTGTGTTACCTGATTCACGTTATTTTCTCCAGAGTCTAACATTGACTCTTGTGGTTTTGTTAATATGTTTCAGGATATTAACCTGCAGGTCCAAGAGCTACAGCTGTGCCTCACCAAGAACACAGTACGTTGGAAACACCGCTTCTTGTCCGAACACCAAAGTTAGTACTGAGATGGGTGACTGCCTGACCACCACATGCTGCTGGCATAAAGACTCTACTGGAAGTAAGTATTTCATGGCTTTGTCAGCTGTCCTTGGTCAAATTGTCTGAATATTATCTTTAATATATGGCTGACAGTAACTGTCCACGTCTGCTTAAAAAGAAAAGGATTTGAATTGTAAACCCAGATACTTAAACAGCATGTACTGTATAGCAGTACAGAACCTTATAAAACATACAGGTTGTAACTCTCTAGTCCGGCAAACTTGGGACCTGACCGGTGCCCGACCATGGAAATTCACCCTTTTCCTGGATAGATAGTGACTTATGCTTACACTTGGAAGCACTAGCACCACTTTCACTGCTTCATGGTCTCTTTGAAGACATATTGAAGGGTTAAATTTGGACAAAAAAAAAAAAATCACTACACAATTTAAAATTTCTACGGCGGAAACTCGACTTTCGACGGGTTTGAGCGGCCCGCCAACGTTGAGACGTGCACAATCGTGTAAACAGCGTCATTTCTCTTATGTACAAAAGATTCATTATTGTTTATTACTGAATGTCTTTTTGATTGAATTAATGTTTATGTGTGCAAAATGAACGATACAATTCATTAATAATACGTAGAATATTAAAACACACGAGGAGACGAGACGGCATTGTTTTCGTTGATTACAAAACCAGTGACTGATTGGTTCTACATATAAAACTGAAGAAAATAAGACCCTGGTTGTAGCTGTAGTAAAATTAATGTAAACAATTAATATGGTTGTTTTAAGTAATGTTATTAAATGTTAATAAATGGAACAATATAAGTAGCTAACCATTAATGGTAAAGAAAAAACGTGAGACTGCGCACATGTAAGTGTGCACATGTGAAAATATATCGTCATTACTCTACATAAGAATATGAAAGCAACACTAATTTACTGTTCATATATATTTTAATTAATGTTTCTGAATTTCAAAAAAAAATTCTACGCAATAGTAGTAGTAAAGTTGAAAACATAAGGACAGTTAATGTTGTTGTGTGTGTTTTTACTTGGATGACAAAGTTGCCAAGTCATCAGGTTCAACTCTAGCTGAAGCTGTACAACATAAGAACTTTTTCTGTGTTATTTTTGTTGGTTTATTAGGATGTTGCTTTATTAAAGGTAGTAATTCACTAAAAAGTAGGGTAAATAAGGCAAAATTTAGCCAAAAATCAAAAGTACCAGACTCAAATTAATTTTCTCCGGACCACGGGAGTTTCCGCACCACAGAATGCTGGACTAGAGAGGTACAACCTGTACTTGAGTAAAAGTACTAAAAATTTTTAGTACTTTCTAAAAACTACTCAAAAATGTTACTTGAATACAATACTCAAGTAACATTTATTTCATTACTTTACAACTCTGCTAAACACTACGTCCCTTACAGAAACATTACACCAATTTTAACTCTATCGGGAATCACTATTATCATTTCATGTAGTTTTTGCTTAATATAACTTTAAAGTCTGTATAATTTTAAACAGTTTGACAGTATTATTATGAAGTCACATGGTTCAAAGTACCCCCATGGTTGCCAGGCTGGGAACCACTGACTGTTAAATATACAGCAACATACAAAAAAGGAAGACAAATAATTAACAAAAGCATAGTTACTTGTCTTAAGAGTTTGACGAGAACAAAGATTTCCTGTATAGGCCATGAGAGCTTCTCCTACCTTGCCATAGGTGGTGAGGTTGGTGGGAGATCTTGTTCTAAGCTCCAGTTATCATTTTCATCTGTTAAGTTTTGTTGTAAAATCTCCTTCTGTAACAAACAAAATATTATATAATCTATAAACCAAACTTGGGGAGGTTAGGTTAGGTTAGGTTAGGTCCAGTTGTATCATCTATTATAAATCATCTTAGGTATTATTACAGTTTCAGCCACAACTCAGAGAAATTTGTGTTCACTATTAGTTACATCTCATCAATAGGAACATCTTTATCTAATACTGTACCAATTTATGTAAGAAACTAACACTAAGTCTACAGTCACAGCGTGTTATATGTTTACAACTGACCCACTCGGAGTGAGCGTATTGTACTGTCCTGTCCACAAAAAATGTCAAATTACACCTTGACTCTTCAACAAAGTAGCTTTCATTAATACCACTTATCAAAATAATTACTTTCTGTTTAATATGGCTGGTTGGCTCAGAAGTTAGGTTAGGTCAGGTTCTTTGGAGGGGGTGATAACTACAAAACCACCCAATTCCAATGGATACGAAGGTCAGATTGTAATGACTCACACCAAATACCAAGATAAACACAAACTTATGGTCAAACAGTAGTTGTGGTGATGTAAATAAACAGAAAAACAAATAACTTATCCACGAGTCAGTCATCAATATTAACATTTATTTTAATTATAAGTCATTTTAATGTTTCTTCTTCTCTATCTATGATCATAAATCACCCGCAGCGGCCAGAAGATGAAGGAAACACAGGGAAAACTGATCATATGACACTATAATGATGTCTCTATGTTCCTTGTGTGAATAATAATTACTCATTCACCATAAATAATCCTTATAAAATATCTGCCGAAGATTCACCGTGTTGCGTTTCTTTATGACTGACCTGCTACAGTAGGTCCGAGCCTACTGTACTGTCTACCAAAATGAGTAACACTACACCACGAAGCTTCAACATTTTCATTGGAACTAAATATCAGAATAAATACTTTGTTTAATACTGCAGGTCCGCCCCCCGGCTAGGATGTTAGGCACGTCTCTTTGGTTGGTTATAAGAAGTCAGATTATACAGTATAGTATTAGCTTCTAGTAATTGTCGCCTCTTTTAAAATACTTACTATAATATAAACACCTGTGAACAACTGGACAATTCCTGGTGATATAGTGCTGGAAATATCATAGAAGAAATATGTCTAATAATTGTCTAAATATTACGAAATACATATTAGTAACAGCTAAAGAACAACAGGTGTAAGAGTATAAATCAACCACCTATATGGGGTATTATTTTTCAATTCTCCCGACTAAACGAATCTCGGGAATTTTATAGTTGTAATCAGTAATTTTGACAATTATACAACACTTTTCAAAATTTCTGGGGCAAATTATGTAACTAACCCAATTCGTCCGGTCCGACTAATTACCCAAATGTAGCCGCAATGAAGTCAAATAATGGTCCTACATGAATAAATCGGACTGCCAATCACTTCTCGACAAGTATTTGGTGTCACAAAGTCACAAAAAATTAGAAAACTTACTTTAATCTGAGTTAATAGATCGCGTGCATGTACCGACGGAGCGAGGAATTACCCAAATGTACCCAAATGTAGCCGCAATGAAGTCAAATGATGGTCGTACAAGCGTAATTCGGGTTGTGAATCACTTCTCGATTATTATTTGGTGTCAAAGTAAAAAAAAAAAATTGGTAAACTTAATTTAATCTGAGTTGTGTTAGGTTAGGTACATGCACGCGATCTATTAACTCAGATTAAATTAAGTTTACCAATTTTTTGTGACTTTGTGACACCAAATACTAGTCGAGAAGTGATTGGCAGTCCGATTTATTCATGTAGGACCATTATTTGACTTCATTCCGGCTACATTTGGGTAATTAGTCGGACCCCATTTCGTCACCACTAACTCCAAATTGTAACACGAATATAAATTACACATGTACACAGGCGACTCGAGAATTATTGTTATCATACATAAATACTAATTATTTAATAAAGAAAGCTATTAAAACTGATAAATAAACAAAGTACAGAATAAATGAAGGTTATTTGGCACCAGCGAATAAATCACCCAGCGTATACGTTTATATTTCTTATATTTTCGTCTTTAATAAATTGTCTTAGTGTTTTTTACTATTTTAAATCCCAAGCAAGAGTTATTTTCGCGTATATATTGATGGGGATAAAAGCGGTGACGAAACGGGTGAAGCAGTGGTGACGAAACGGGTTAAGCAGACAACAAAACGGGTTGGTGGTGATTCAGCCAGACTCAACAACTACTCTCTATCATTAATGTTACAAATATGATATAATACTGTTAATATAGTTTATTTACCGATGCCTCAGAGGGAATATTTCCAGGGATGTTCAGTTGTGTAGGTGAGCGGCGTCCATCCTCGTGGCTCCACCTGGTGACGGACTTCCTGACTTAAAGGACGAGAAACTCTACACTGAACCTCCATGATGGTTGTTTAGTAACGCTGTTAACTCATAGATGGCGCTCACATCCGTTTTTTACGTTTATAATATAGATCGCCTTTTGAATAATCATCTATTACGATCTAAATAAAAATACAATAGCATTTAATAGAGTCTGGCTCATCCGTCACATCAATCTGTACTCTGGTAATATTTATCATCTGGGATAACTAACGACGTCTGTGTGGTCTGTAAATGGTGTTATTTCTCGAGACATGTTTGATGGTACATATTATTTGTCCCGACCTCCATTGACCCATAACTCACGGCCGTATTCCAACGTCTTTTAAAATTTATTGTATTTATATTATTTCACTAAAATATATTATTAAAATTGTTATATAAAAATCTATTTGAATATATTTGAATTGTTTTTAGTTATTTATATTAATTTTAAAGCTATTTAACTGGAATATATTAAATTATTGGAATGAAATCTAAATTAATTTTAATATTACTCAAATTATTTTTCCATTCATGTCTTATTTAATTTTATGTATATAATTAAATTAATATCAAAATAAAATAAATAAATTAATCTAATTTAATAGAATGATTAAATATATTGTAATGGAAGTAAAATTCGCTATTCGATATTCCCTTAATATTATTGCCATACTATACAACATTATTATCATTCTATTATTCACTACACAGTAACGAACACTTGACCTAAATATTAAACAGATTATTTATTATTGCATATATTTTACTCTACCTTAACTAGATACGTTCATTTAATACCAATTAGGAGATAAAATTAACCTAATGTTAACTGTTTCTCTGTTGTTGGTAAACGGGAACTACGCTGAAATTCCCACTTATTTACTGTCTACCGGTTAATCCTGACCAGTTTACCAGGACCAGTTTACCAGGACCAGTTTACCAGGACCAGTACAGTTGTAAAGGCGATTTGATAAGATGCTACGTTAATTTGACTCCATCATGAACGCGCCATGCCCCTTTGGATCTGTCCTCCCATTGGCTGATTACAAGTGCGTGGTAAATCTCTCAGCCAATCAGATGCTCTTGCTAATTACACTTCCACAAAGTAAAAAAAAAATAATTACGACTTATGACAACAATTAACAATGAAATAAATTTATGAAGACTTACCAGATAGATAGAAAGCTAGAGTGAAGATAATTGAGAGAGAGAGAGAGAGAGAGACTTCCTCCACCACAAGAATCCCTCCCGGTTATTTGAGCTGCGTCATGTGAAAGTTATCTCTCTCTCTCTCTCTCTCTCTCTCTCTCTCTCTCTCTCTCTCTCTCTCTCTCTATGGGATAGGTGAAAAGGCGCGGGAAAAACAGCTGGTTAGTAAAAACGCGGGAAAACACCAAAATAAACATAAAAAAGCGCGGGAAAAAACAGCAGATCGGGAAAAACGCGGGAAAACACCAAAACAAACATAAAAAGCGCAGGAAAAACAGCAGATCGGGAAAAACGCGGAAAACACCAAAATAACATAAAAAAGCGCGGGAAAAATAACAGCTGATCGGGAAAAACGCGGGAAAACACCAAAACAAACATAAAAAAGCGCGGGAAAAAACAGCTGATCGGGAAAAACGCGGGAAAACACCAAAACAAACATAAAAAAGCGCGGGAAAAAACAGCTGATCGGGAAAAACGCGGGAAAACGCCAAAATAAACGAAAAAAAGCGCGGGAAAACCTCTAGTCAGCATCCCGGAAGACTTACACAATCAAGCCGTAACACAATATGGCTTAATCCTCTCTGCCTTATGGCTTCTTAGACATATAAACCGAGACATTCTTACGTAACTTGATGAGCCAGGCACGTGAGGTGAGGTAGGGGGGGGGGGCGTCTGAGGTACTATTGTATTTCGTAGTATTTTTCATAACTAGATAGATAGATATAGGATGATTGGATTCGTATATATATATAGATAAGTTAGATTAGGTTAGGTTTATTATGTATTGTGATGTGTGTAAGGATGGTGTTGGTTAGGTTAGGTTAGGTTACATAATCTAAACTCTTAAAAAAAACTATTCAATTCCTGTTACGTCATTAATCAGAATTTATTTGCATAGAATTAAATACTTATATCTATAAATTATATATCTTAGTTAATATAGCATTAGAAATCAGTGTAAAAAAAATTATAAGGTAATTAATAATACGATTATATTTTGGTTTATATAAGATAGAAATGTGATGACTGAGACCTAACTCGGCACCGAGGGTCAGTCTGTCGTGGTCCCTGGAGGCTGGTGGACGTGCCCAACCACTCTCTCTCTCTCTCTCTGTGACAAAACCAAATCGAGTTTCTAATCATATTAATTACAATAAAACCGTCAAAATCAGTTTCGTTTATAGTGAATTAATATAATATTTGCTGTTTGTGGTTAGAAAGGTGTTTTAATTCCTTTTTAGGTTTTTATTAAAGAAATAATGGACAATCGTGTGCGTTCTACTAAAGTGGCCGTGGTGGGAGCTGGTTTGGTAAGTGTTTTTTTGTTGTTGTTTGACTATATGTAAATGAGTTCATGTCTCAGTGAATGTGTACGTATGGTGAGTGATTGTGTACGTATGATGTTTGTGTGTACGTATGGTGAGTCATTGTGTACGTATGATGTTTGTGTGTACGTATGGTGAGTGATTGTGTACGTATGATGTTTGTGTGTACGTATGGTGAGTGATTGTGTACGTATGATGTTTGTGTGTACGTATGGTGAGTGATTGTGTACGTATGATGTTTGTGTGTACGTATGGTGAGTGATTGTGTACGTTTGTTAAGAATTAATGGGTTAATAATTTTATGGGATTTACTTTTGGTAGTGAAAGATTCTTACGCCTGTACTTTGTTAATTAGTATATCTATTTACCTGTGTTTGTATACCTGTACTGTCTAGGTATATTGTTTGTATACCTGTACTGTCTAGGTATATTGTTTGTATACCTGTACTGTCTAGGTATATTGTTTGTATACCTGTACTGTCTAGGTATATTGTTTGTATACCTGTACTGTCTAGGTATATTGTTTGTATACCTGTACTGTCTAGGTATATTGTTTATATACCTGTACTGTCTAGGTATATTGTTTATATACCTGTACTGTCTAGGTATATTGTTTGTATACCTGTACTGTCTAGGTATATTGTTTGTATACCTGTACTGTCTAGGTATATTGTTTGTATACCTGTACTGTCTAGGTATATTGTTTGTATACCTGTACTGTCTAGGTATATTGTTTGTATACCTGTACTGTCTAGGTATATTGTTTGTATACCTGTACTGTCTAGGTATATTGTTTGTATACCTGTACTGTCTAGGTATATTGTTTGTATACCTGTACTGTCTAGGTATATTGTTTGTATACCTGTACTGTCTAGGTATATTGTTTGTATACCTGTACTGTCTAGGTATATTGATTGTATACCTGTACCGTCAGGTATATTGTTTGTATACCTGTACTGTCTGGGTATATTGTTTGTATACCTGTACCGTCTAGGTATATTGTTTGTATACCTGTACCGTCTAGGTATATTGTTTGTATACCTGTACTGTCTAGGTATATTGTTTGTATACCTGTACTGTCTAGGTATATTGTTTGTATACCTGTACTGTCTAGGTATATTGTTTGTATACCTGTACTGTCTAGGTTTATTGTTTGTATACCTGTACTGTCTAGGTATATTGTTTGTATACCTGTACTGTCTAGGTATATTGTTTGTATACCTGTACTGTCTAGGTATATTGTTTGTATACCTGTACTGTCTAGGTATATTGTTTGTATACCTGTACTGTCTAGGTATATTGTTTGTATACCTGTACTGTCTAGGTATATTGTTTGTATACCTGTACTGTCTAGGTATATTGTTTGTATACCTGTACTGTCTAGGTATATTGTTTGTATACCTGTACTGTCTAGGTATATTGTTTGTATACTGTCTAGGTATATTGTTTGTATACCTGTACTGTCTAGGTATATTGTTTGTATACCTGTACTGTCTAGGTATATTGTTTGTTTCTATTACAGCAAACTTTTCCTATTACCCATTCCTCTTTCATTACTTTTAGGAATCGTTGTAGAGACAAAAAGAAAAGATAACAGAGACAAACAGAGAGAGAGAAATAAAGAAAAAGTATAACAGGGAACTTGACTTAGTATGAGGCCTTGGAAATATTGGGTTTTTTCTACACCAGTCACCCCTTAAATGGTTTACTGCCGGAAGGTGCTGGGTTAAAAGAGGCGCTACGCAGGATATTGTTAATGTTTAGTTTTTGTTGAGATATTATTTGTTCCCCCTGCCCGTCTGTAGTATAAGCTAGGCAAGTTCAGGCGCTCCAATCTCTCAGGGTAGCTGCCACCACCCAGACTTTTCATTATATAACATAACGTTGCGTCTCTGTAACAAAGCGTGTTCGGCATTCGGGCCTTCGATGTAGAGCGGCAGAAATTGGACAGTGATTACATAAGTTCGTCAAGATCGTCTTAGTGAGGTGAAAGTGTAAATCGATGTCGGACTTTTCATGCTAGACACGATTGTATTTTTGAAAACTCAATTTCCACCGAGTTGGAGGTACAGCCAGGGTCACAGGCCTATAACCACACAATCACTGCCACATGACAAAGCTTTTATTTTATTTTATTTTTTAGGGTGTTGTGGTCACGGCTGTGATAAAGGCCAACCAGGGAGTGTAGTACTGTGCCTTCAGTTAAATCAGTTCATAGTTGTCATCAGTGAATGCAGAAGAGACTATAATAACTTAAAGTGAATACATATTGGCAATCGAGCTGGTAAGGACAACTGCCAGCCTATTCGTGTCATAGGTGCCACAGAGACTTTAAATTTTATTTTGTTTGTGTGCTTGCTCAAGGACTGAATCTGTGTTTATAATACACCACTCACAGGGAGATACAGTGTACACAGTGATAGTTCATAGTGTCATCAGTGACCGCTGAAGTTGTAAATAACTTAAAGTGAGCGCTCACTAGCAAGCAAGCTGGAAAGGCACCGTGCCAGCTGAAACCAAGTCGTGTCATAGGTGCCACAGAGACTTTAAATTTTATTTTATGTTGATTGTGTGCTTGCTCAAGGACTGAAACTGTGCCTACAATACACCATTCACAGGGAGATACAGTGTACGCAGTCGCAGACGACAACTCCATAGGCAACAGAGAGTAGCTAAGTACTTTTTTCTCTCTTTATTTTCTTTGAAATAGGTGTAGATCTATACACAGTCTACACCCCCCCCACAACAACAACAACCATGAGTTTGGTATGTGATTACTGCAGGGAGACGTCGGATATGGAGGATGCAGGCCTAACTAATGCAACGTTTAGGAAGTTACTAACTGCCGTAAAGCTTGATGGCTGTTGCTGGTATTGCCCTGGCTGCATAGTCAAGGTGAATGAAGCGATTGCAATCCATAAGGGAACGAGTTCTCTAGGGACGAAAATAGATGAAGCAGGAGCCCTGCTGGTTGACAAACTGGAGCAAGTTGAGAAAGAGATCCTTGCTAAGACTGAGGAAGTAGCTAATAGAATGGAGGTGGTTGCTAAGAGGAGCTATGCGGACGTATTAGGAGGGCCACGGGTGGGGGGGCGGAGAGTAATGCAGAATCAGTACAGGTTCTACAGCAGATTGGGACTCTGAAAAAGTGTGTCGAAGAAATGAAAATTAACGGACCTACTGTTAGGGGAGAGGAGGAACACCAGGAACGGCTCCAGCGCAGGAACAATGTAATAGTTTTTGGAGTCCCAGAGAGCCAGGCAGAGGGAACTGTGAGTAAGGAAACACACGACAAGGTGCTGTTTCAAAATATTTGCACAGAGGTTCTGAAGATTCCAGCAACCCCTCAGGATGGGAGGAGACTGGGACAAAAGCAGGGGGCTAAGCCTCGCCCCCTCAGGATCACATTAGGGAGTGAGGAGGAAAAATGGCAAGTTATCCGGCAGGCAAAAAACTTAGCAAGGAGCGAGGCATTTCGAGATGTATTTATTCACCCAGACCGCACGGTAATGCAGAGGGAACAGCACAAGAAGCTCCTGCTGGACTTGAAGCAGAGGAGGGAGGAGTCGAGAAGGAACGGGGACAGGTGCACATGGGTTATACTCAGGGGGAGGGTAGTGGAAACAAGTGTGCCGACACAGGGCCAGGGGGCAGCAGTGCACCCTCCACCCACTCAACCCCCCACCCGGGAGGCGGCACCAGCTCAGCCTACCGGACAGGAGGGAACGAGCGCCGTGTAAACAATGAAATTTTTAACCACACCCTGCAAAATACAGTGTACTTAGCAAATGCTGCAGCTTCTGAGAATGTGGGTGGAGCGGGTTTATTACTAAGAGCAGAGACGTTACCGAGAACAAATTCTGGCTTGAATGTCATGTACACTAATACCGACACGTTCCTGGATAAGAGGGAGGAGTTTGAAACACTACTAAGAGTACACCAACCAGATATTGTAGGAGTTGTAGAACTGTTGTACAAGAACAGGAGAATCGACCCAGAGGAATGTGAGTTCAGTATTGCTGGATATGACTCATTTACGAACCTAACTCAAGAATCCTGCAGGAGGGGTGTGGTTATCTACGCTAGGCAAGACCTTAGAGCCAGCCAGGCGAGGGTACAGGGAGAGGATGTTTTTGAAGAGTCCAAGTGGTGTAAAATTAAATTAAAGGGAGGGGACTTACTTATCGTCGGGTGTATCTACAGATCCCCGAACTGTGGCCCACTAAATCAAAGGAACTTAAGAACCTTAATAAACAATGCGGCGATGCTCAACCCCAGCCACCTCCTTATCATGGGGGACTTTAACTATGGCGACATCGACTGGAGAAACGAGTCAACCCCGAATGACTTGAATAATCCTGCTACTCTTTTTGTAGAAACTCTGAGAGATAATTTTCTGTTCCAACATGTGAGAGACCCGACACATTACAGAGGGGAGCAAACACCCAAGCCACTTGACCTCATCATAACAAACGAGGAGGGTATGGTGGCCAAACTGGAACACCTTGCCCCAGTTGGCACCAGTCACCATACAGTGTTGTCATTCAGATTTAACTGTTACCTAGTTCAAGATAAGGCCAGGCCAAGGTGCAAATATTACAAGGGAAATTACAATGGGATGAGGGAAGAGATGAGGGGTATCAACTGGCCTGACTTATTAAGGTACAAGAACGCAGACACTACGCTGAATATCATAACTAGTAAAATGACCCATTTGATCGATAAATATATACCCAAGACCAAACCCAGTGCTTCTAGGAATACGAGGGGATCCCTACACATGAACCATGCGGCGGTCGACAAAATTAAGAAGAAAACCCAGAAATTCAAGACGTGGGTTGGGTCAAACGATGAGCAAGACAGGAGGATGTATGCAAGAGCCAGAAACCAAGCAAAGATAGAGTGTAGGAGGGCTGAAAAGGAGTTCCAAAGGCTGGTTGCACGCGAGGTCAAGTCAAACCCAAAGGCGTTTTACCGCTATGCAAAGTCGAAATTGAAAACGCGAGTAGGAGTATCAGACCTGAGGCTTGAAGATGGTAGTTACGCAGATTCTGACCAGGATAAAGCTGAGGCATTGAACAGCTTCTTTTCCTCAGTGTTCACAAGAGAGGATGCAACTAACCTTCCTGCGTTTGAGGACAGACGGTTCGACACAGCACTGACCCACATTGTGTTCACAGAAGAGGGTATTAGAAATAAACTGTCCAGGCTAAAGGTCCATAAGAGTCCTGGACCTGACATGGTGCATCCTAGAGTGCTAAGGGAGCTGTGCAACGAGCTTGCAGAGCCCCTGAAGATTCTGTTTTGTAAATGCCTGGATGAACAAATGGTCCCCAGTGAATGGAAAGTGGCTTATGTGAGTCCTATCTTCAAGAAGGGCGATAGGCACTCCACGAACAACTATAGACCGGTGAGCCTGACCAGCATAATATGTAAAGTACTTGAGAGTATTATCAGAGATGCAGCGATGGAACATCTACTACGAAACAACCTTGTAAAAGATTGCCAACACGGTTTTATGCCGGGGCGCTCTTGCTTGACACAATTGCTCAAGGTATTGGATATTTGGACCCATATTCTAGAACGGGGTGGTAATATCGACAATATTTACCTAGATTTTGCCAAGGCTTTCGACAGTGTACCCCACGAAAGGCTGAAAATCAAACTGGAAGGGTACGGAATTCGGGGAAATGTCCTAGCGTGGATAGAAGACTTTCTACATGACCGCAAGCAATGTGTGGTGATTAATGGCACGAAATCGTCATCTGTACCTGTAACAAGTGGGGTACCGCAGGGTAGTGTATTGGGCCCGCTGTTGTTTGTTTGTTTCATAAATGATATGCCTGACGTTGTACACTCCTCCATACAAATGTTTGCCGATGATGGCAAGTTATTTCGGGAAATTAAGAACCAAGCGGACTGTGAAGAGCTGCAGAAGGACCTCTGTGGGCTCCAGGAATGGTCGAAGGAATGGCTGCTGAGATTCAATGTCACGAAGTGTAAGAGGATGCACCTGGGGCGTACCAACGGTAAGGAGGCGTACCATATGTCCCAACGGGATGAAGAAAATGTACTAGTTGAGACTGTGTGTGAGAAGGACCTAGGTGTGTATGTTGACAATGAGCTGAAGTTCTCGGGCCATTGTGAGAAGAAGGTAAATCAGGCAAATAAATTATTGGGTCTTATAAGAAGGTCGTTCAGATATCTAGACGGTCCGTCCCTCGTGACGATCTTCAGGAGTGAAGTGCTTCCCCATCTGGAGTACTGTCACCCCATCTGGTCCCCGAGATATGCTAGGGACTGTCAGTTGGTTGAAAATGTTCAAAGGAGGGCCACCAAGCTGGTGCCTGCACTTCGGCATCTCAGCTACCCTGCGAGATTGGAGCGCCTGAACTTGCCTAGCTTATACTACAGACGGGCAAGGGGGGACCTAGTTGAGGTTTATAAGCATCTCAGGGGGCACTACTCAGTTGAGTGTCCTTACTTGGAGCTGGCGGACGCTCGCCCCACAAGGGGTCACAGCTCAAGATTGAAGAAGCCGCAAGTCCGGAAAACCGTGAGGGCAAACTTTTTCGGAGTGAGGGTTGTAAACTCTTGGAACAATCTACCAGAAAGTGTTGTGACGGCACCGAGTGTGAGCTCTTTCAAGAGAAGACTTGACCAACACTGGAGCGGGTTCAGGTACATTCAGGAGCCGGTGCATGCCCAGTATTTGCCAACAGTGCGTGACAGAGACGTGACTGATCGCCCTGGATGGCTATGAGCCGACCTTGGTGAAGAATATAGCGAAAAGAGTCGTGACCGATCGCCTGCGGCTAATGCCGATCAGTGGCGAAGAGGATAAAAGAAAAGAAAACTCATGGAAGGGTTTTGGGTAGTGTGGTAGATGTATAGGCACGTGAGTAAGTATTATTTTCTGGGAACCAATGTGTAGAAGGAGTAGAGTGGTGATACTCGTAGATTACTAGTTCAATATTTATTAACACAGTGAGTGGAGAAGATGCATCTTAGATTCACTCAGGCTAAACAGAACCGCAATTAACTTATTAAGTCATCAAACACTCCAAGAACTTATTACGTCATTCACCACCTCCAAATACTTATTATACCATTAAACAACTCCAAGTACTTATACCATTCAACTATTACTCATTACTTCATTCGACAACTGTTGTCTTATTACCTTGACACATGAGATTCCGTAACTATTATTCACAAGATATCACTGGACCCTCAGGTCTTACTTTAACAAGTACAAATTACCTCTCCAATTCTTGATTATAACATTATACTCTCAGGTTATCTTTCCTGGTCACTACCAACGAATACATAACACACGGGACAACTCCACAATTATAGTGACATACAATACCTCCTGTTAGAGTGCAGGAAACAACCTGGCACGTTTAACTTTCATTCAGTGGCTCAATACTTAACCTGAGATGACTATATTTCTGCTAGTCATCCCTAAGCATGGATATTAATACGGCTCCATACATGTAACCAAGAACAGTAGATAGACCATGATCATCCGACGGAGTCAGTGGGCCAAAGTTGTTGACAGCGATCACCGAGCGAGGCTCGCCCAGGCGACCACCTGGCAGAGTCGTTGATGACGCCTCTCGGGGACTCTCGTCCTGGGATTCTAACCACGCCACCTTAAGGACCTCCTTCAAGAACCATCGTGCCCACGGGCAGTTACGGGACCTCAGGAGTGTTGTTAACACCCAAACAGCATCTGGAGAGACGTTGAGGAAGAGTCACGAATGCGTGATTCTCCCTCGTGTATACGTGCACCGAGGGGCAGCTTGGGCCCCCGTATTCATACCAGAAAGGTCGATCTCACCAACAACAAAACTTCTCTATCATTTTGGATCACCGTATACTTGGTTATGAACTCCGGTGTTCTTGATCAGGGTAATTTCCTATGTCTATTCATATAATGTAATCAGAGGTTGAGCTTGCCAGGAAAAGGTGGAATATACACGTCGATAACATCAATTCTGCGAGCTCAGGCCTGAGGTGAACAAGGAGCTATTGACAGGGAGACGTTAGATCTTGGAGATTATACCGGTTGACAGAATAATTCAGGAAATTAATGACTTTCTTAAATAGACAACTAACACTAACTAAACTACAAACATCAGATTCTCTGATGTCGGGGCGACAAAATACCACAACTTCAGCAGCGATCAGAAACTCTTGGTCATCACACGGACGACATAAAATACGCCACTCTAGCTGGCCAACTCAACACTCGCTTACTTGACACGTCTTACTAACGATAAGGACAGTTGAAGCGTTCAACACCACTCACAATGGATCTTGAATGTTCCAACTGTAAACAGGCATATCTAAGTTGACTCAACAAGGGTGTTCTCTCTCACACTCAAATTCATTTTATAGAGAGGTTGGTTTCAGTAAGTCAGAGAAAATGGGATAACGGAGGACTGATGTGTCTTGAAGTGATGAGAAAACGGACTCCTCAGATGGAGGACTCAAAATAAAGGCAGAGGTACATGTTTTGTGGGCTATTGAGCGTAATATGAATCATTTGATTTTGGCGTTAACTGACGTTTATGACCGTGGTCGTTACAACCTTCTTCTGGCAATACCGTATTCACGCCCACGCCCACGTACACCACAGGAACGAACAACTATTGACCCACCTGTATTTAACCTCACTAATTTATTATATATAATAAAATAAAACAATAAGAAAAAATAAGTCATAAAAAATACCAATTTATATAGATTTTCGTTACGTCTCGATAAAATGAATATTGATACAAATACATATTAAATTTTATGTTAATTTTCTTTGTTATTTGTCAGGTTGGGAGTCTGGAAGCTTGTTTTTTGGCTCGTAGAGGATATGAAGTACACCTGTTCGAATACCGTGATGGTAAGGTCGTTTTAAAGTGTGGTCATTTGAGGATTATACACCCTAAGATTATTTCACCTGATGTTTTGAAATTAATTACTCTAATCTTACCTTTGGGGTTAGGTTAGGTTTTGGTTTAGTGTCGAGTTTAACTTGTTTAAGCTTTGGTTTAAGTTAGGTTAATATTAGGTTAGGTTTATGTTAGGTTACGTTAGTTTAAGTAAGGTTAGACTTAGGTTAGGTTAGATTAAGGTAGAGTTAGATTAGATAAAAGTAGAGTTAGATTAGATTAAGGTAGAGTTAGATTAGATTAAGGTAGAGTTGGATTAGGTTAAAGTAGAGTTAGATTAGATTAAGGTAGAGTTGGATTAGGTTAAAGTAGAGTTAGATTAAGGTAGAATTAGATTAGGTTAAAGTAGAGTTAGATTAGATTAAGGTAGAATTAGATTAAACTAAGCTTACATCACCCCTCCAAATATCCCACAAAATCTGTCAACCTGAGCTATGTCATTACCCTACAGACATTCGCTTGCTGGAACACGTACCAGGGCGGAGCATTAACTTAGCAATGAGCATCCGCGGACGGGCTGGACTCAAGACAATGGGTTTAGAAGACAAAATCATCAAGAATCATGGTATTCCAATGGTAGCCAGGATGATCCACAATAAAGATAACACCATTAAATCCATACAGTACAATAAGGATGGCAAGGTTGGTGATTTAATCGTTATTTTATGTGATTTATTTATATTTTTGGGTGAGGGTGTCGTTTTATCGTAGTTAGGGATGCAGAGATGCCATTTTCTATACGTTTTCTATGATGTATAAATTATAATTATCGCAAAACATACAGACAGACACTCAGTAGAATGTAGGTACTATTATTATTATTATTATCATCACAGTAACTAACTAATGAATTCTCCTCAGTGCATTTACTCAGTTGGTCGACGGTACCTGAATGAAGAACTACTGACAAAGGCTGAGGAATTTCCCAATGTTCATGTCCATTTTTGTCATAAACTCCTGACGGCTGATCTCACTAAGGGCACCATGATCTTCCTTAAGTGAGTTGTCTTTCCAGGTCATTGTGGTATATGTAATAGAACTTCACCTCATCAAATATAACGTAATCTAACCTTACCCTACCCACACCAACCCAACCCAACCCAACCCACACCAACCCAACCCAACCCAACCCAACCCTAAACTATCCTCATAAACAATAAATTAAATAAAAAATCCCCCACTATTTTCCAGTACCAAAACAAAGGAAGAACTCCATGTTGAAGCTGACCTCCTAATTGGCTGTGACGGAGCCTACTCATCCATGCGAAAAGAAATGATGAAACGACCTCACTTTAATTACTCACAGCAATATATACCTCACGGATATATGGAACTATGTATTCCTGCCACTCCTGATAATGAGGTAAGTTACAGTGAGTTAATGATGTGAGTTACAGTGATTTGATTTGATTTACAGTGATTGAGAAGAGTTTATGACGCGAGTTACAGTGATTGATTTGATTTACAGTGATTGAGAAGAGTTTATGACTCGAGTTACAGTGATTGAGAAGAGTTTATGACGCGAGTTACAGTGATTGATTTGATTTACAGTGATTGAGAAGAGTTTATGACGCGAGTTACAGTGATTGGATTTGATTTACAGTGATTGAGAAGAGTTTATGACGCGAGTTACAGTGATTTGATTTGATTTACAGTGATTGAGAAGAGTTTATGACGCGAGTTACAGTGATTGATTTGATTTACAGTGATTGAGAAGAGTTTATGACTCGAGTTACAGTGATTGAGAAGAGTTTATGACGCGAGTTACAGTGATTGATTTGATTTACAGTGATTGAAGTAAATTATAGTGATTGAGGATAGTTTATGAAGTAATTGATAGTAGAACAGAATAGTTTTTCATGTCAGAGGTATATTTATCTGTATCTATCTATATATTTATCTATATTTCTATCTATCTATCATTTCTCCATCTATCTATCCTCTAACTACCATCCCCCCCCCCCACAGTTTGCAATGCCTCCTAACTATCTGCATATCTGGCCTCGAGGGAAATACATGATGATAGCTTTACCTAACCAAGACAAATCCTGGACTGTTACTTTGTTTATGCCGTTTGAGATCTTCGATGAGCTGACCACACCTGAAATATTATTGGATTTCTTTAAGGTAAGTGTGTGTGGGGTGTGTGGGTGGGGTGTGTGTGTGGGGTGTGTGTAGAATGTGTGTGTGGGGTGGGGTGTGTTTTGGTGGGGGGGTGCTGGTGGGGGTGTGTGTGTGTGGGGGAGGGTGTGTGGGTGGGGTGTGTGTGGGGTGTGTTTGGTGTGTGTGTGTGGGGAGGGTGTGTGGGTGGGGGGGTGCTGGTGGGGGTGTGTGTGTGTGTATGTTGTGAACTGTTGGAACAACCTGCCAGAGAGTGTTGTGACGGCACCGAGTGTGAGCTGTTTCAAGACCAGACTTGACCAACACTGGAGCAGGTTCAGGTACATTCAGGAGCCGGTACATGCCCAGTACTTACCAACAGTGTGTAACAGAGAGCCAGTACATGCCCAGTAATTACCAACAGTGTGTAACAGAGAGCCAGTACATGCCCAGTACTTACCAACAGTGTGTAACAGAGAGCCAGAACATGCCCAGTACTTGCCAACAGTGTGTAACAGAGAGCCAGTACATGCCCAGTACTTACCAACAGTGTGTAACAGAGAGCCAGTACATGCCCAGTACTTGCCAACAGTGTGTAACAGAGAGCCAGTACATGCCCAGTACTTGCTAACAGTGTGTAACAGAGAGCCAGTACATGCCCAGTACTTGCTAACAGTGTGTAACAGAGAGCCAGTACATGCCCAGTACTTGACAACAGTGTGTAACAGAGAGCCAGTACCCAGTACTTGTCAACAGTGTGTAACAGAGAGCCAGTACATGCCCAGTACTTGTCAACAGGTAACAGAGAGCCAGTACATGCCCAGTACTTGTCAACAGTGTAACTAGAGCCAGTACATGCCCAGTACACAACAGTGTGTAACAGAGAGCCAGTACATGCCCAGTACTTGTCAACAGTCGTGTAACAGAGAGCCAGTACATACCCAGTACTTGTCAACAGTGTGTAACAGAGAGCAGTACATGCCCAGTACTTGTCAACAGTGTGTAACAGAAACCAAGTGCAATGCCCAACAGTCAGCCAACAGGGACAGAGTACATGCCCAGTACTTGTCAACAAGTGTGTAACAGAGAGCCAGTACATGCCCAGTACTTGTCAACAGTGTGTAACAAGAGCCAGTACATGATTGTCAACAGTGTAACAGCAGTACATGTAGTAGCAACAGTGTGTAACAGAGAGCCAGTACATGCCCAGTACTTGTCCAGCAGTGTAACAGAGAGCCGGTACATGCCCAGTACTTGTCAAAAATCTTGTAACAGAGAGCCATACATGCCCGTACTTGTCAACAGTGTGTAACAGAGAGGTAAGTACATGCCCAGTGCCCTCAACAGTGTAACAGAGAGCCAGTCAGCAGTGTGTAACAGGGCCATACACATCAGTACTTGTCAGCAGTGTGTAATGAGAGACCATACACGTCAGTACTTGGTCAACAGTGTGTAACGAGACCATACACGTCCAGCACTTGTCAACGAGGTGTGTAACAGAGAGACCATACACGTCCAGCACTTGTCAGCAAGTCAGTAGCCAGCGCAGAATTCCATACACGTCAGTACTTGTCAACAGTGTGTAGCAGACCATACACATCAGTACTTGTCAGCAGTGTGTAGCTCAGAGACCATACACGTCCAGTACTTGTCAGCAGTGTGTAACAGCAGAGACCATACACGTCCAGTACTTGTCAACAGTGTGCAACAGAGACCATACACGTCCAGTACTTGTCAGCAGTGTGTAACAGAGACCATACGTCAATGCTTGTCAGCAGTGTGTAACAGGGCCATACACATCCAGTACTTGTCAGCAATTGCCCAACAGAGACCATACACATCAGTACTTGTCAACAGTGTTAGCCAACAGAACCATACGTCAGTGCTTGTCAACGGTGTGTAACAGAGACCATACACGTCAGTACTTGTCAACGGTGTTGTAACAGAGACCATACGTCCAGTACTTGTCAACAGTGTTAATAACGCGAAGACCATACAAAATCCTAACTGTCAGCAGTGTGTAGTAGAGACCATACACGTCAGTACTTGTCAACAGTGTGTAACAGAGACCATACACGTCAGTACTTGTCAACAGTGTGTAACAGAGACCATACACGTCAGTACTTGTCAGCAGTGTGTAGACCATACACGTCCAGTACTTGTCAGCAGTGTGTAACAGAGACCATACGTCAGTACTTGTCAGCAGTGTGTAACAGAGACCATACGTCCAGTACTTGTCAACAGTGTGTGGCTGAGACCATACGTCAGTGATGCCCATCCAACCGGCAAGACCATACGTCCAGTACTTGTCAACGGTGTTAACAGAGACCATACGTCCAGTACTTTGGCTCAACAGGTGTGTAACAGAGACCATACACGTCCAGTACTTACAGCCAACGGTGTGTAAGCTGAGACCATACACGTCCAGCACTTGTCAACAGTGTGTGGCAAGTTATACGTCCAGTACTTGTCAGCAGTGGTAACAACAGAGACCATACACGTCGAAGTGCGCATCAGCAGTGTGTAACAGAGACCACTTCACGTCAGTACTTGTCAGCAGTGTGTAACAGAGACCATACTGCGTCCAGTACTTGTCAACGATGTGTAACAGAGACCATACACGTCCAGTACTTGTCAACAGTGGTAACAGAGACCATACGTCCAGTACTTGTCAACAGTTGTATAACAGAACCATACACGTCCAGTACTTGTCAACAGTGTGTAACAAGACCATACGTCAGTACTTGTCAACAGTATGTGAGAGACCATACACGTCAGTACTTGTCAACGAGTGTGTAACAGAGACCATACACGTCAGTACTTGTCTAACAGTGTGTAACAAGAGACCATACACGTCAGTACTTGTCAACAGTGTGTAACGAGAGACCATACACATCCAGTACTTGTCAGCAGTGTGTAACAGGAGCCATGCGTCCAGTACTTGTCAACAGTGTGTAGCTGGGGAATATACACGTCCAGTGATGCTTGTCAACAGTGTGTAACAAGAGACCATACACGTCCAGTACTTGTCAACAGTGTGTAACAGAGACCATCACGTCCAGCACTTGTCCAACAGTGTGTAACAGAGACCATACGATCCAGTACTTGTCAGCAGTGTGTAACAAGACCATACGTCAGTACTTGTCAACAGTGTGTGTAACAGAGACCGCCACGTCCAGTACTTGTCAGCAGTGTGTAACAGGGGTCCCTTCTACGTCCAGTGCATCAACAGTGTGTAACAAGACCATACCGTCAGTACTTGTCCAACAGTGTGTAACAAGAGACCATACCTCAGTACTTGTCAACAGTGTTGTAACAGAGATACACTTCGTCCAGTACTTGTCAACAATTGTGTAGCTCAGAGACCATACACGTCCAGTACTTGTCAACAGTGTGTAACAAGACCATACACGTCCAGTACTTGTCAACAGTGTGTTAAGCAACAAGAGACCATACACGTCCAGTACTTGTCAGCAGTGTGTAACAGAGATTCATACACGTCAGTACTTGTCAGCAGTGTGTAACAGAGACTAAAATACACATCAGTACTTGTCAGCAGTATTAGCCAACAGAGACCATACACGTCCAGTACTTGTCAGCAGTGTGTAACAAGAGACCATACACGTCAGTACTTGTCAGCAGTGTGTAA